GAAATGATTTAGTTTACAAATGCATGATTTTTTTTCTATATTCATGCTTAATTTTATTTTGTCATTTAGAGTATCTTTAGGTGCATAAATAGATCTGGGAGATTTATAAAGTGTCAGAATAGCAGCCACAATGAGACAATATTAGAATAGTCCTTTTTTTCAGTATTTCTTCTGATCTTCTAAGTATGAAAAATAATGTGCTGGCTTTTCATTTCTTAATCCTCTAAGGAACGTAGCAACTTTAAGGAGAATTAATCTCTCCTTACTTTGGGAGTCTAAAACTTAGGCACTATGATGAACAAGATCACTGAGGAGTATCCTGTTATCAGGGAAGAGAAATGGCTACTGCCAAAGAGCTGATAAGCATCTAAGATAGGTAGGACTCAAAGAAGAATTTGCTGAATTTTGAAAGACTCTACCCTGAATCTCGATTTATTCTACAAAGCCAGACTGCCATCTTTAGGGGGGTTATGCTGTTAAGTCACACTACAGCCATGAAAAGGTGGATTTTATAGAAAGGGGTATTTCCTTTGCATCTACTAAAGCAAACCATATGTGTATCTATATCTATATATAATTAAATATATATACATAGGTAATAGGTCTTGCTCCTTAAACAATCATATATTGCAGCGAGGCAGAACCAGAATACATCACCTGTATTCTGAAATGTTTTTTCATTATTTTAATCACTTTTTAATTTAGATCTTGGCTAAGAACAATCAATATGGCTGTAAATCTGAAAGTCAAGTAGAAATGGATATTTCCCTATAGAAGTACAGGTAAGGTACTTACCATATTATCAAAAATTGTTTAATAAGGATTTGTTAAATTTCTAAAGTTTGTTACTTTAATAAGGATTAAATTAGTCATGCTCTGTAGGAATTCTTTCTAATACTCTACTTAGCTTATACTTTTCTGTAGAGAACTTATCATTCAGCTCTATAGTACTTTTTTTTCCATAGAGGAGAACTATATTATTTCAATTCCATTCATCTTTACATTCCATTTGCTGCTTTACTAGGATTAACAAAGCGTTCCAAGTATTTAACTGGAAAGTAATACATTCACAAAAATTCTCATTAAAGTCATTATCTTCAAGTTACAAAAGACTGCACTTTTTAATGACTAAAAACTGCATACTGAAGCAGCACAGACTTAGAGAATGATTCCAATAGTACTTTTGTTGCATTGATTTGGGAAGATCGCTTTCTTTGCTAGCACATTCTTGTGTCTTGGAGGTTTATTACTACAGTAATAAATATTGAATTCTAATTTCAGGATACAATGTGTAGCTATCAATGCCTGACTAACTAACACAGATCTCTCTTATTATTAAAACAATCCCAATATGGAAAAGTTCACTTTTAAATCTAGAAGATGAAATTCTATTAGGGTTTGTAAAAAGTGAATAAGGCTACAAGCACAACTAAGTATCTCCTTTCCAACAAAGGTTTATTGCCTTGCAATATTTATGTGTCTCAATTTCATGAAAATTTGGGAGGATTCTTAATTGATACTGTATTTTTTTAAAAATTCAGAAGGGAACTCTATGCAATTACTATCAGTCCTGGAATACATTCTATAAAGAGCAGACTAGGTGCATTATCTGTTTAAGCAGAGATAAACACTAGAGCTCATTAAGATGAATTCCTGGTGTAGTACTCCTGGTGCACTATCTCTGAGCCATTACTTCAGAATAGTTTCTCCACCTCTAGCATCTGTCAACAGAAATCCAAATAAACAGAACTCCCTACAAAATATTCTGAAGTTAGGAGTTTCAGAATCAGAGCATGTTCCCAAGATGGGTGCTCCCAGAGAAATACTGCTGCCCCATTGTTTTAAATGAAGTGGTTCATGAAGTACCTTTGTAGATTACTTCTGAGTAATGTGTGAGTAGAAGAGATCTCAAAGGTGATATCTATAGTGTTATGTCACACACATTCAGATCTTAATTTTGAGCTATTCTCAGTTCTGAAGCAAAGCTCTTACCTAATTGTGCAGTCAGGCCTACGATGTTGCAGTTTCTAATATGTTTCAAGTTATCTTTGTATTGAGAAAATACAAATATGGCTGATTGCTTTGGGAGATACACACACACACATTGCAGATTAAATGACCTGTTAGAACAACATGAATATTCTTCATGCGTGAATAACACTAGTATTCACTAGTGAACTTAGAAATGAAGAAATGCAGTTCTTAATTGTTATTATTCTCCATGCACTTTAATTCTCCATGAATTTGTGATGTTTTATGAATGTACACCATTGTTTGCTTCTATATGCATATACTTTCTTTTCCTTACCTCCCTGACAGGTTGCCAGAGGTTTGTTTCTCAAAAATTAAGTTTTCATAGAATGGGTTGGGTTGTAGGGGCCCTTAAAGATCATCTAGTTCCAAACCCCCTGCCATGGGCAGGGACACCTTCCAGTAGACCAGGTTGCTCAAAGCCCCATCCAGCCTGGCCTTGAACACTTCCAGGGATGGGGCAGCCACAACTTCTCTGGGCAACCTGTTCCAGCGCCTCACCACCCTCAGAATGAAGCATTTCTTCTTTATATCTAACCTACGTCTACTTTCTTTCAGTTTAAAGCCACTACTCCTCGTCCCGTCACTACATGCCCTTATAAAAAGTCCCTCTCCGGCTTTCTCGTAGGTCACCTTTAGGTACTGGAAGGCTGCTGCAAGGTGCCCCTGGAGCCTTCTCTTCTCCAGGCTGAACAACCCCGACTCTCTCAGCCTGTCTTCATAGGAGAGGTGCTCCAGCCCTCTGATCATCTTTGTGGCCCTCCTCCAGACTTGCTCCAACAGGTCCATGTCCTTCTTCTGCTGGGGCCCCCAGAGCTGAACACAGTACACCAGTGGGGGTCTCACAAGAGCGGAGTAGAGGGGGAGAATCACCTCCCTCGACTTGCTGGCTATGCTTCTTTGGATGCAGCCCAGGATACAGTTGGCTTTCTGGGCTGCAAGCATACATTGCTGGGTCATGTTGTACTTCTCATCAACCAACCCCCCCAAGTCCTTCTCCGCAGGGCTGCTCTCAATCCACTCATTGCCCAGCCTGTATCTGTGCTTGGGATTGCCCCGACTCATGTGCAGGACCTTGCACTTGGCCTTGTTGAACTTGATGAGCTTCATAGGGGCCCACCTCTCTAGCCTGTCAAGGTCCCTCTGGATGGCATCCCTTTCCTCCAGCGTGTCGACCGCACCACACAGCTTGGTGTCGTTGGCAACCTTGCTGAGGGTGCACTCGATCACACTGTCCATGTTGCCGACAAAGATGTTAAACAGCAGCGGTCCCAATACTGACCCCTGAAGAACATCAAAAAGTTTTTTAAAGTGCTGGGATGGCAGGTGTGTGAAATGTGGCAAGAATTTGCAATCAGAATTTGAAGTGTTTTTCCATTGTAGAGACAATAATTTTTATGGTCTCTGAAAATAATTTATGCATGCACATATATGGGTAATTAGGAATCTTTTGGACAGTAAACACGTCTTGCAATACTCAATACAATGCCCTGTACTATGAAATTTTACAAATTCCGTTGTAAATTTAGATGCGTTATAACTTGGCATTCTGCAAATCCCTACTGGTATTTTGCTGTTGTTCTGTGTCTTTTCTGTTAGTGTGAAAGAATCCAAAAATGAAAAGAGCGGACTACAGAAGAATTATGCATTTGACTGCATATAGGAATAAAATAACTTGTGAAAGCAAATTTTTACATGTATTTATACGTTTACAGATAAAATAGTTCTGATTTTTCTTCATTCATGTATTTAATTTAATAATTTAAAAAGATGCAGATGGAGTAGAAAGAATTACATAATTTCCATTTTGCCAGCAGGTTCCTTGTGCGAGTGTTTTCCTGAAAAACACAGAGTCATTCCAGCGAATTAGTCATTCTTCTCCCCCTCCTCAAGTTTCTGTGGTCACCTTCACCAATGGAAATCACAAGCTCATTATTACTACTTGAACTGGTAGGTATTATAAAAATACTAGATACAATGACAAAATGAAAAAGAGATAACAGCATGTTGTCTTAAATGCATTAAAATTATTATTTGCTTAACATTTCAGAATTATATCAATTATTAAAGGAAGGCAAATACAAGACCACTTTAGCTTTTTTTTTTAAAGTCCTATTTCTGAATATTTTGTTATTCATTCTGTAGTAGTAGTGAATTCACATTCTTGTGTAAAAAGACTTGGATGTAACTGCACAATTTAGATTTGATAAGACCAATGAACCTGCCTATAGTATGCTTCAGATATTTTAAAAGACTGAACTTTGTTCTAAAATAAATGATAATATCTACAAACCACGTCAGCATTGGGAACAGGGTATATAAATTCTTAGGTAAGGAAAAGATTTTAACAAACACTCAATACCTATATTACTTTCAGGAAAAGCCAGCTTAGTTTTAAAAAAATGCTGCGTTCAAACATTACGTATTTGGCTAAATCTAAATATCTCTTAGTTAAAAACAATAAAGTATTTTCTAGCTACATTCCTGCTGCCTTATGTTTCAATGTAAAGCTAATGTGCAGATGTAACCCTGTGTGTTCATTTCCTTTACTGTTTCTGGAAGATGTCCTAACAGATTTAGATTTATGTATATCAGATATTCCAGAATTGGCTTCTTGATACATTTCTTTGGAAGAGAGATTTGCCTCTAAATTGTGCTAAGGTGTTGACTCAATGGTGATGTATACCAGCTACCATACCATTCTTGTTTTTTTCTCTAGGCTTAATAAATCAGGGTAACAGAACAAGTGACAAGTTCCCTGTTAAGGTCTCATTTCATGGCTCTAAAATTGAACAAGACATTTAAGATCATTCAGGTCAAATTTTGTGTCTAAATCAGTCTTCCTTCCTGAAAGATGATACTTGTTTTGGGAGACCTAATCTAACCTAATATAACCTGATGACAAAAAATAAAATTGACATTTCCTTTAGGCAGGATGATGAGTCTAAAATGCTGTATCAGTGGTCTTTTATGATATATGAACATTATTCTACCCTAAACATTAAATCAGTCAGACCCAATATAAGATAAATGTATCAAACAATATTCTCTTCCATTTTAACTTAGATTTATTAGGTCCTTATGGCCATTTGGGTTTTTGCACAAACTAGGAAAAATATTCTTAGACCTCAGAAGAGAAATGCCATCTGTGTCTGGTGTGTCTGCTTGCCATATGTGATTGATTTATCTTATGAAATACCTGCAGCAAAGTTGTTGGTGCTAGTTTGAAAGACAATTTATTCTTTAAGCAGTGTGTTGCTCCGGTAGGCAGCCAGTCGGCTAAACTGGCACATTTCTTCTTTGCTTCTGCATTCTCACAGGTTATTATTTATGTTACAGGCCTACACGAGTTCCTTTGATCAGAGCTAAAAAGCCTGTGGAATGATGATCCATTAGCATCCTGCTTTCTTCATGCCACAGTCAAGGTACAGTAGTTTCATAACATGGGTTATCTGCTGATTATCACAACATAAATTATCATAAAACAGATTATCTGCTGGTTATCACAATATAGAGGTCTGCTGTGATGAAATATTAGACCCTTTGGAGGAATCTCATTGCACTGCAAGAAGCTATTGACCTCACAGAAGACTTAAATTGAAATTTACACCTTATAGGCCATCTTACTAGATTGCTTGCATTCTGAGTCTTTTACAGCTACTCTTAGTCCCAGTTGCTTAATAGTGGAACTCTCTCTTGTATCAAGAGACATCTAATTTCAGTGTGCTGTTTTATGAAGGCCATATCCTGTACCTGAATTTACATGTACGTCAGTGTCTGGTCTGTTACTTAAGTTTTAATATTCTGGATTTGAGAACCAGAAGAAACCAGGATAAGCAATTAAATAAATGAACTTAATAAATAACTAACTGAAAATTACTAATTTATTAAATTATTGAACTTATGAGCTTAATTAATTGAAAATATCTAGCATGCCAATAGCAATACTTCTGTGCTATTAGCCTGAGAGTAGTTCAATTTAAAACATAATAACCCCTACTTGACTAATAACAATTAATTACTCTACTACAATTAATATGGTGAATTAATATGCTACCAAGAAAACTGTTTATGTTTTCAAGGAAGCCAAGCATCTGCACCAAACAATTTCTGTCTTGCAGCAGAATGTTATTCAGTGTCTGAGAATACAGAGGAAAAAAAGCCTTTGCTCTTTCTCCTTCAAGACAGATGGGAGTGTGTTTACATTCACCAAATATCCATATATGTGTGACACTCTCTCTCATGAACGTTCAGTTGCTGGAAGTGTAAAACTTTTTTATTCCTTTCAGTAAACATCCTGCACACATCTCCTCTGTGTATGCACTAAATAAAGGAGGAAGGAAGTCCTGGAAAACTGTCTGTGTATTCAGTTGTGAGCTCCCAGGGGGAAACCAAGGCAAAGGACACAATTCTCATACAAATGGGCAAAGGTATCTACGTTCCACAGTGCCGAGCAACCATCAAATCCAGAAGAAATTCCTAGTCATTATCCTTGCCCTACTTCAGGCATCTGGGAATCACTGAAGTCTTGCAAATACCTGAAAATATTAGCCTTCTGGTTACTGATCACATCTTGCTAAAGTATAGATTTCATCTACCCGTCCTAATTTTCTTGTCCCTTTTACCCCATATTGTGAGACAGGATATTAAAATAAGTTCTTCATATTTCTTTGACAGAGTGTAACAACATTTTCCAGGCAAAATGTGCCACAATTTTCTCCACAGTGTATTATTGTTATTTCTCTAGAGCCACAAAAATTGGCATACCACAAATGTCAGTGGTACTTAAAAGCCTGTCTTAGTGTGGAAAGGGACTATAAAAATAGTATGGATACTTTCTGTAAGAAAAAATTTAAAACTCTTCTAAAATAGTTTTTCAATAAAATAAATGATACAAAAAAGTCATTAGAGTGTAGGATAGAAGTATCTTCCTACAAGCCATGAAGAAGCCCTTTTTCCTTACGTTTTTATCACCTGTGATTAATATACCCACCTCCCATTTTTGTCAGTAAACCTGATACTGCATCACTGTGCATTATCCCTTTGTTACTCCTTGTTTATATTATGCCGCATGCCATTACAAAAAACTAAAAGTGGCGTTTGGGATATATACAGCAGGATTTTTAATATTTACTCTGGCAGATCTTAGTTCAAATACAGGTTTTGGTGACAATATCAGGAGTCAAACACTATCTATTTGTTCTAAGGCATACAGGCCTACATCAGAAAAACAGGTGAGAATTTAAGGAGTGCTAACAGAGGTGTAGAGCAGAACCCATCATAGCACCTATTTTGTACTATACCTAAATACACAGTATTTACTTTTCAGTAATTATAAAAGGCAAAAACATGGAAACAAGATTCCCAACATCCACAGTTAATGTGAAAAGATACAGAGCAGAAAATGATTATTTTTAATCTAATGAAGTCACTATGTCAAATTCTGCCTATTGTGCCATGACTTTAGCATAGTTGCTTAAGTTTATCCATGTAGAATCTAGACTCCTGTATTTGTACCACTTGAAAATACAGAACTACAACGCAGTGGTGTAAGGTGTACAAAGGAGGCAGATACATTGAGGAATTTACCATAAACAGAAATAAAAGTTGTCTATAGCAGTGAAAGCTCCAGTTACTAAGAATAGAAAACCTTTTTTCAGTAGAACAGTTTGGGCATTGACCAATTATTTTTCATTTTTCAGCTGCACATCAAAACTTTCCAGCACATTTCTATCTTGTTTAAATAAACTAATAAACTCCTGATACAACTCTGGATACTGCTTATCAACTTGTCACGCATGGCAGTGTTTGTTAACTTGCAACAAGAAAATGTTTATCTTTTTGCTACACTCAAAGCAAGCAGCAGAACTGAAAGTTCCTGTAAGAAGAAGCTGGCAAGTGGCCTGCAGTCTAAAGAGACTTTGGTTTGCTCTGTTTTATTTTTCGTTCCCATGCCTTTTCTCAGCACATTTTCTATATTTCTAATGCTAAAGATTGGTAATAATTATCTACAGCCTGAAGTACAAAAAATGTTCTAAAATAAGGTACAGCACCTTAAAATTACTAGTTGTTCTTTCCAATCTTTTAACACCCGAGTATTAAACACATAGATCAGGAACTGGGAGATGTAGAATAACAGAACAGAAGCAAAGTCCCCATCTCCTAAATATGTTTAAAACTCCATGTATTACTGCTGTATTCTGGTGCGTTAGCATAAAATACTGCAGTGTTTTTAAGCGTTCTGTAGGTAGAACAGGAAAATACATTTTTCTATTCTCTGTGATACAAATAAAAGGTGAGAATATGTCCTTGGAATATATAATATGTATAATGATAATACCACCCAATATTATGCTTCATTAGAAAGTCTAACTTTTTTAGTGCCATAAGATAAACTTGCTATTACAGGTATTGTGATATACTCTGCGGAATTTGGTGTTCAGGTATACTGCTCTGCTCGTATTAATTCCTAGCGAAGTCAGTGAAAACTGTGCAGCTAAACAGTTTGTCTGTTGTGCAGGGTCAGGGTTGTAGGCTGTTCTTCAATCCCGTTAGTAACAATGACAAAGGAAATTTTCTTAGGGAGTTAGGTGAGATGAAACGCATAATGCAGCTATCTTCTAATTCTTGCTATCTTGCAGGTGATGTCTGAGAAAAAGTCAACAAACCCAAACAGATAAAATGGCAATAAAGGTCGAGTGTGATCTGCTCGCTGACCAGTCCCAACTAGCGTGTGCAGCACAAAGGACAGAGCCGCAGCATCGCCCCGCAGGCAGAGGACTGGGGTCCCCCAGCCTCCCACCGTGCCCGCAGGGTCCTGCCAGAAGGCACCTTCCCCCAGCTCCAGCGCTGCGCTCCCATCTCCTGTACGTGCACCCATGTGTCGTACGACCCCCTGGCAAAGGCGCGCTTTTATTATACAACCTGCCGCGCTAGATGCATGTCTCTATTGCAGGACATGATGCGTGGAGTGTCCCGCTTTATGAGAAAATCAAAGAGGCTTGCATTAACTAATTGGTATAATTTTTCCTCTCACACACGCCATACCGGGATGTTAGCAAGGAGCGTGTTATCAGGAAATTGCAGCTGTGGCTCAGTCTTTACTTTCTGGCAGGAGCATCTTGAAAAGGAGTTACCTCTGGCTTTGGGGGTTTTTTTTGACTTCTCGGAACTTTCTGTTTATTAACTGGATAATCTGCAAAGGAGGAGACAGGAATAGAGCTGGTACAGAAAGATACTATGTTTAAGGCTAGAGCTGACTTACCCTGGCCTACTATTCCAGATAAAAACGCATTCTGAAATCAGCTGGTGGCTGTAACTGCTCCCTCTGATAGGCGAAGTGCACGCGGTACCTCACCTTGCTTAGGTTCCAGTGAAGGCATTTTACACCTTTCTGTGACTGGCTAGAGGGCAAATCAGGGCCCAGACCTTGAATCTGGAACCGCTTGAATTTGCAACATTCGTCTCCTAATGCTCAGACTGGAACAAAACCACCACAATTTTCATTTCAGATATGTTCTAAGAACATATAAATTATCAAGATACTGTATCTAGATTATTTGAATATGAGTCCAGATTATATCACAGAGTCTATGTTTGATTCATACTGCAATCTGAAGATCTTCTGGACACACTATTTTCTCCTTACTGCCAACTCCAGTCATGGGATGATTTTGTTATGGATTAGTTCTGAACTCCAGAAATGACTAGCACAGATTCCCTGGCTTTATATATGAATATCTTGGTGATTCCTCTGATACAAAATTAACCTGCTGCAATCTAGTTAGATATTTGTGCTGTTCTCACCACTGAGGTCTCCAAAAGCCTCAGAGAGCAGTCATGGCAAGGCTGTAGATTTCTCTTTTAAAGGAATATACAAAATATAGTTTGTCATTGGAAATATAAAGAAAACTTTTAAGTGGCTTTTTGTTAAAAAAAAAACAACCAAACAACCAACCTAGGAGTCAACAAAAAATCATATTGGTTAAGAATTCCAGTTACTCAGTGATTATTTATTGGGTAATAGCACCTGTCAAGTCTAACTACTGGATAAGTTAATCATCTCCAAATATTTCAGCTTCTATTTTAATTGCTTAATTATAGAATAGGTCATACTATCTTGATGAAAGCATGATTATGAAATGTGTGATTTCTTTTAATGATCTTTATTAACTTACAATGAGTCCTTGTATTTCCACACTGTATACACACTGGCAAATCTTCTTCCAGCTATAATTAACATTATGTCAGCACTGTACCTCATAACTTATATTTGCACTTGTTTATAATACAACCATAAAGATCCGCTTCAGTCAGAATCTTGGCACTGGTGGCTTAAATTTGGGAATAAAAATGTTTATACACATTTAAAATTTAAGGAAAATGAAAACAAAACCATTTACATGTATTTAATCAGCCATCAATGGCAACAAATTAACAAAGTCTGAAACAGTTTAGTATAATTGAGAAATGTAGTAGTGACCATTTATTAATGGAGTTTATTTTTGTATGGATTTCTGCTTCCATAACTAACCATTTAAGGAAAAGATACATTGCAGGTTCATCATGAATACTGGTCACATTTCTGGTCCCCTCTTGAGAAAACTAGTTAGGTCTTTATTCTATAGACTTACAGCATCTGAATAGTGATTTATCTCTTGCAGTTGATTTGCTACTCTGTTTGCTATGGCTCTTGCCTTCCCTTCCCCACATCTTTCTCTAACACACGCGAAACTGGGTGGCTTATCTGAGCCCTTCTGAACAGCTTCATTGGGACACAGGTAGAGTTCTGCTTCCTGCATTCAAACTCTGATACTGTTATTTATGTAGTCATATGTCCTACAGGTAATGGTAGAGGGAGCTGCAATGATATCCCCTCAGTACTGACTGAAGCAGAATTGATTGTGTCAATTCAGTGAGAAACTGGATCTAACATATCAGAAGTCAAATAACATAGTAAATATATTATTAAAATGGATGACCCAAGTTCTGTATTCTGAATAACATTTTAAATAGTCAGTGTACGTACAGTTGAGGTAATGTTCAAAACTTGAGATAATAATGGGCTTATTCAATACATAAATGAGATTGGTTTATCTTATTCAGCCTATTTAATAACTGCATGTCTTTTCTGCTATTTTTGTTTATCTATTATGAGACTGTTGGTAATCAAAAAAACTTTACATATAATAAAAACCTAAAATGCTGTTAATGCTCTTCCATTTTGTAAAAGAACAAAAGTATTCTCATATTACTCATTTCTTGGCACATAACAAACATTTAATATCTTTTCCACTGTGGAAATTATATTTGAAAAATATTACCTAGTTGCTACTGTTCTAACTTTTAGAACACCACCATGAATTTGTTGTTCATGTTAATGACTCTTGGTCCTATAATTAAAAGAAATCAAAAGCCCTAAGAAGAAGCTAAAAAACATCTTCGCTTTGCTCATATTTAGAAAACAACCAGACAGCAAAATTATCTTTTACAAAATATTTAATATTGAAACCTACTCACAGCCTATTTGCAGGCAAAGTGCTGCTAGCTTCAGTGGACAGATTTACAGATGAGTTTTGCAGTCCTTCCACTGGGGCTGTATCACATCCAGAGGTTTTTGTGACATACTACTTCAAGCCAAAATAATTTAAATACTTAAACAATTTGAAGCAAGTATATGAATTCAAAGGTTTAAGTACACATCTCAAGCCATGTGCTTGGCTCTCATTTTTTAATGCTTATTATTCAGTGATAAAAATGTGTAAAAAAAAAATTACAATTGTGTGTCAGGTGATTCCTATTAGATATAAAAGGGACTGGAATATAGTGTTACTGATTTTGATTGCCTTCCTTGAATTTAATCTCAGGATTGCTAGGTCTAAGCAAATATTTTTCTTGATAGTAGTGTCATATGATAAATATATTTTTACATATTGACAGACCCCATGTTCAGAAGGAATCTGACTTTTGCTACGGTCTGTATTTATATAAGTAGGTATGTATGTTAGAATCCATTGCTAAGATCTACAAGTTAAACATGCAAGAGATTTTATGAAAGATTGCTTTCATTAGGAAAAAAAATAAATTCTGATATCCTTGAAAGATTACATGTAAGGTAGGATTGCAACATAGGGCAAATACAAAATCAGATCAGTTTTAATGCTGAAATCTATCACAGTATTCTTTACATAGTGTTCTGACTAGCATAGCCCCCAAAAGACTTTTAAAAAGTAATTAAAATTCCAATCTGTTCATATTAGCAGTGTCTTCTATATAAAGGTGATACAACTTATAGCTCTGGGAGTACTCCCTTCACTGATCCTTAATATTACAGAACTCCATAGAACATCTCACGCTTTTTTTTTTTTTTTTTTAACATTTTCAATTAGATGCAGAGTCTTCAGCTGGGAGTGTTACTTGGAAATAAAAAGTTTGCTAAACGTACACAGATGGCAAAAATCTTTACTAATAACATTAATAATTCAATTAATCTAATACCTTGTAAGTAACTTTTATAATTTTAAAGGCTGTATAAGCCTCAAGCCAGTCTGTGTTACACCACCTTTCATTTATGTCAGAAGGTGCTAGGAATCGTCTTGCAGTCAGTAGTCCAAACAGAAACAGTGAAGTATTGATGTGAAAATTTAGAATTAATATAATGACTAGTTTTTCTACTGCTTTCTGTCTATACATACATTTGAAATGCTGTTGCATGTTGAAATGTTGCATGTTGAAATGCATATGCCAGCGTGTTTTGACCTGTGAATATAATGTTGTGCAACACAGCTCATTCTGTCCTTCTAGAAAGTAATTTTCTTGTTATTGTGGTATTTATCTGGGCATCAAAAGTTCTGGGTTCCAGTCATAACAGCGAGCTTGCTTTGTGACCTATAGGACATGACTTAACCTGTAAGATTTTCCTGCCTGAAAAATGAGAAACACTCCTTCAGCAGAATGAAGAAGAGCATTTCCTTGGGGATAAAACTTTAATATAAAAGGGGCAGGGAGAATCTACCCAGCTAGTTTCTTTCCTATGTCACAAAATATTTTGAAGGCTATTTAAAGATATTAGACACTGTCAGAGAGACAATGTGGTGCCGTATATCTATTATTTCTTTTAAGCTAGTCAGTGAAGTCAAGAGTACAATTAACAGAAACCAGTTACAGTACTGTCCTACACAGAGCTACTGAAATAAACGTCACTAGCACTGCACATGTCAAACTGATGATATATTGTGCTGCAATACCCAGACAAAACCAAACCATGTTTACATTTATATGTTCTGCCTTTTCCTTCAAGCACGGTGGAAATCTGCAGACTTCAGGGGAACCTGCCAGCTCGCAGGAGTAAACCGTGCCCGAGAGACTCAAGTGTGGGCACTCCCCTCCTGGAGGTCTCTCACTCACCCGGAGGGGCAGAGAGAGGAGCCGTACAGCACAACTGCTTTCCCGATGGACTCTGCCATCCCTCCTTCCCCAAAAGCACCAGCAAGAGGTGTGCCCACACAAAGACCTTTCAAGTTGAATAAGCAGAGAATAGCTGAGAACCCACAATGTCTTTTCTAGGTTTAATCATAAATTTATTTTGGGACGGCATGAAAATTTTATTTGAATATTTTTGTGCATTTGATTTAAAGAAAAGTACTGGGCAAATCTATTAATTTGATAAATGGCCTGATGTATGTTCTTAAAAGCGGTTAATATTCTAAGTGAGCTCTGCTATAGTAGTCATTCAAATTAGCTTGCAAAATCTGTGTCATGTTTTCAGAGACATACACACTAAATTCTTACACTAAAAACAAGTTAATCATACCAAAAGAGTGAAGCTCTCACTCTTAAGCCAAAATATATTCCTCTTCATAATACTGTGCAGTTATCGGCATGTCCCTTGGATTTATGACTTATGACATTTGTTTACCAACAGGTGGTTGCATATCTTGCCATTTATATTTTAAGCAACAGTAAACACAACTAAAAATAATGTAAGATAAACAAAATAAAACTCAGTGGGTTTTTTTAAAGTGTTTTTAGAGAAAAGCTGTACTTATAAGCTAGGTCTTCAAGTAGTTCACACCAGGCCCAGCAACACAGAAGAATACTGCAAGAGCAATAAGGATTTTTAGGGGCATTATGATAGTGTAATGGAAACACATCTGCCCCCAAAAGTCCCTCATTTTCCCTGCGGTAAAGAGCCATGCAGGAAGTGGTGAATGCTGTGGAACATCAAGAATGAAACTATAAAGAAAAATTTTTTAAGTTAGAACAATTTTCCAACAATACTTCAGTATTTCATAATTTCCTGTTAGTCCACTGCATAGGAAAATTGTAGTTTTTCAAATAGCTTCTAAGTCATTTACTTTGGATGTGTAAGATGGTTCAGTCCATTCACCAAAGTGAATTCTGAAGCAGCTACCTTAGAAATACTATTAGTATTGGGAAGCTAAAAACATTATGCATAAAGCACAGACAATCCAAGACAATTTTTGTTCTTTCAGCTCCCAAAAAGCAAAAAGTAAAACAGAATAATCATCATTAACAGTTGACCCACATCTCCCATTTTTAAGGATTTACTTCAGTGACAGCGCAAATGTTAGTTTATAGAAGAAAATGATACATAATAAAATCATACAACATCTTTCATTTTAAAGAATTTAAAAATATTTTCCAACCAACCATGTGGGCAATTTTCCATACATACAGAAAGACCACTCAGAGTAAAAATGCAAAGAGAAATCAAATTTAGAAAAGACTGAATACTCCATATTTATAAATATCCTTAGTAAAACAGGTAGCACATTTGAACTTTAGTTATGCCTGTTCAATTGACATGCCTAATGAAAAATTACTCTTTCAAAATAATCCACACTAAATAGCACCTAACAGGCATATTCTTCAAAGGATTCTTGTAGCATAATGTGTGAAATAGAATAATATTGTTGAAAAAAGCAATGCTCAATTCCTCGTATGTAATTTAATATGGTGTTCTGTGTAATACACTTGCTCTTTGTTTGTTTGTGTTATAATATAAAAAATTATTCTTTCCTCAGGTTCCAGAAATTTTACTGTGATCTCACTTGTATTTTTTGTCAATGTAGGTCCAGTGATTTCAGTGGAGATACTGCTGACTTACACCAGCATCCAGGCACCTACTGACAGATGTGTGCAGTTTGTGTGACTTGAAATAGGCCTTTTATTACAAAAGAAAACTTCTATACAAACAGCAGCAGCATCAAAGCAAAAATCTAGATTATGCTGACTTTAATAGACATTTTTAACAATAGCAGTATATAACAAATAGAAATACCGCTTCAGTAAAATTACTGCATTCATATATTTTTACTGACCCTTGTGGGCCAATCCTGAAACATCCTGAAATGATTTTTCTCACCCTTTCCTAAAACCATTTATACGTGCTTTGTTGTAGATGACAGAACACATTTTGTCTTTTTTTTTCGCTTGTCTTAATTCTTATCCTGACCTACAAAACAAAAGAAAAGCTATTACTTTAAAAAATTGGTGTCTAGCTACTGTTTTATATCAGTTCATATAGAAAGGCCATGATTCCAGTAAAAG